AATCCATCTATCTGCTAAGGAACTAATATTCAAAATATACACAGAATTCCTATAACAGCTAAAATGCAGATGCCCCAGTTAAAAAAAGGAGCAAAGGACCCGAATAGACATTTTTCCAAAGAAGACATACACTTGGCCGACAGATACGTGAGAAGGTTCTCAGCATCACTAATCACCAGGGAAATGCAAATCAAAACCACAATGAGATCTCTCCTCACCTCTGTTAGGAGGGCTGTTATCAAAATGGGAAAAAAATACCATGTGTTGGTGAGGATGTGGAGAAAAGGAAACCCTTCTACACTGTTGATGGGATGTAACATGGTGTGATCACAGTGGAAAACAGTATGGAGGTGTCTCAGAAAATTAGAACCACCAAATGACCTGGCACTCCCTCCTTGGGGATATCCAAAGGAGACGACATCCCTATCTCAAAGAGGAAGTCTGCACTCCCATGCTCACACCAGCATTATTCACAGTAATGAAGATATGGCAACAACTTAAGTGTCATCAGTGCCTGAATGGATAAAGAAGATGTGTGTATCACAGAATATTATTCAGCCTTAAACATGGAGGAAGTGCAGCCGTTTGGGACAACGTGGATGAACCTGGGGGGCACGATGCTATGAAATAAGCCCGGCACAGAAAGCAAAAGACTACTGATCTTACCTACGTGTGAAATCTATAAAAGTCAAACTCATGGTAACAGAGAATGGGGTTACCAGGTGCTAAGGAGTGGAGGAAATGGGGACGTGTTGCTCAAAGGGTACAAACTTTCAGTTATAAGATGGATAAGTTCGGGAAACCTAATGTACCATACGGTGACTAGAGTTAATAACGCCGTGTTGTACACTGGAAATTTTCTAAGAGGGTAGATCTCAAGTGTTTGCACCGCACATAGACAGATGGGAACACGTAAAGTGTTACGTTAATTAGCTTGACTGTAGTTGTCATTTCACAGTATATACACATCTAAACATCTTGTATGCCTTTAACGCATTCAGTTTTTATTTGTCAGTCATACTTCAGTGAAGCTGAGTGCCGAAGAAATTGATTCTTCCGCCTCAACAGGAGTGATGTCTAGTCTCTGAATGTAAATTTCAGCGACTGGGATTTCTACCTGTTTAGTTCGGAAGACGGAGACTAAGAATGGAAGCAGGCACAAAGTAACTGAAGAACTGTATCAGGAAGGTGCCCATGATTCATTCTACAGATAATTAAACGAGAAATTAAATGAGAAAACGTGGGTTTTGGCTGCAGCGAAAGAGAGTTCAGCTGGGCAGTGATTCCACAAACCAGCTAGAGTAGGTGTGGTGCCTCCTTTCCTGAACAAGCCTGAAAATGGACTAGATGGGCTTCCAATTTAAGATGAGAGGCTCAGCGCACACCTACAGCTCCCTTGTATTCCCAGGGCTCATTGACATCGCAGAAGAGATATTTGTGACTGCTTGCAAGACTAGATGGAATCAGAGCAGAGAAAACTGTAGTCCAAGACCAAAGCGAGTCTTGAGCCAGTTTGTCTAGCTGATCTATTAAAAATGCTGTTTTGTAACAACTGCAAGCGGTACTTCCTGTGTCAGCAGATCAGCTGATAGCTGTTAATTTTCTCCTCGGGCCATAGCTCTCTAAAGAAAGTAGAGATACTGCCTGGGGACAGATTGGTAGAGAAACAGATCTCGAGGCCACCAAAGAGTAACCAACCCCCCATCCAACTTTGGAGTGGTAGACTTCCGCACCTCTTTAACTGAGTAAAGACATGGGGCGGGGCATGCCAAATTAATTCTTTAATTACACATACACTTACATATATATGTGTATATTTTTTTTAACTGAGTAAACTGTATGTCCAATGCAGGACTTGAACCCATGACCCTGAGATAAGAGTTGCATGCCCTACCAACTGAGCCTGACAGGCAACCCACCAAATACTTTGAATTTTTCTTTTTTGAAAAATTTTTAAATGTTTATTTTTGAGAGAGAGGGAGTACAAGCAGGGAAGAGGCAGAGAGAGAATCCCAAGCAGGCTCCGAGCTGTCAGCACAGAGCCCAAAGCAGGGCTTGAACCCACCAACCGTGAGATCATGACTTGGGCCTAAATCAAGAGCCAGACACTTAACCAACTGAGCCACCCAGGCGCCCCTATTTTTTAATTGTTCTAATAAAAGCCTGAGAGTTGAAAGGCTTTTCCAGTCACGATGTAAGGACAGATTATTAGAAAAAGCACTCGAACAAGAAGAAGTTAAAGAAGAATTAAAGTTTCTGAAATAAACCCCAAAATGTAATAGATAGCGTAATTACATGGTGGAGACCAAAGCTGTTCATCTGGAAGATGAAGTTGAGGAAGAGGATCTGTAAGAATCCGAGCACAAAGTCAGAGATGTGCAAGGCAAGCATTTCAAGATGTGGAGGTCAGGGCAAGAAGGCCCACAAGCCTTGAACAGAATATGGAAGGAGAAGATAGAGACCGTGGAAGGAAAAAAGAAGCAAAAGAAGAATGGAAGAAAACAAATCCCTTGCTTAGAGAAGATTTTGTTTCCAGAGTGTGAGGGCCCACCTGGCCTGAGTAGCATGAATGCACACATCGGAGCATTTGGCTCAGGTCATGATCTTCTGGCTCGTGAGTTCAAGCCCCGCATTGTGCTCTGTGCTGACAGCTCAGAGCCTGGAGCCTGCTTCGGATTCTGTGTCTCCCTCTCTCTCTGCCCCTCCCCCCCCTCTCAGAAATAAACATTAAGATTAATTAATTAATTAAAAATAAAGAGAAAGAATCAGATGTAGCATCGGCAAACTTGACTGTTAGAATACCATCTAGCACAGCCGGAGTTCTAGGATGAAAAGAAAAAACTCCGAGCCTAGAAAAAAAAGAGGCAAGCGGCTTTCAGACATGCAAGAATTCACACAATTTGGTACTGCGCAGACTCTATTAGAAGGGGGACAAAGCCGACAACATGAGGATCAACAAAACCGAAATCTGAGCCAATGAAGGGGACTACATGGAAGAAGAAATGATTTGTTAGAACCCAGAAGAAGCGACCGAGATCAAAAGGAAATTCAAAGGGGCACCTGGGTGGCTTAGTCGGTTAAGCGTCCGACTTTCGCTTAGGTCATGATCTCGCGGTTCGTGGGTTCGAGCCCTGCGTCGGGCTCTGTGCTGACAGCCAGCTCAGAGCCTGGAGCCTGTTTCAGAGTCTGTATCTCCCTCTCTCTCTGACCCTCCCCTGCTCACGCTGTCTCTCTCTCTCCTAGAAATAAATAAAAATAGGGGCGCCTGGGTGGCTTAGTCGGTTAAGCGTCCGACTTTCGCTTAGGTCATGATCTCGCGGTTCGTGGGTTCGAGCCCTGCGTCGGGCTCTGTGCTGACTGCCAGCTCGGAGCCTGGAGCCTGTTTCAGTCTGTGACTCCCTCTCTCTCTGACCCTCCCCTGTTCACGCTGTCTCTCTCTCTCCTAGAAATAAATAAAACATTAAAAAAAAAAGAAAGAAAGAAAGAAAAATATTAAAAAAAAAATTCAAAGAAGAGCCTGTCTTTATTTAGCACATGTTGTCTTCTCAGGAATGAAGTTTAAATGACACGGTATCACATTTCCTTTAACAGTGTTCTAACCACTCTCCTCGGCTACAAGCGAATAATGTTCATATAATAATATTACAGATGCTAGCTATTGGCTAATTTAACATTTAGGCTCAGTCCATTTGCAAAGCCCAGAAGATTTACGTATGAGTTGTAGAACAGAATGCAAATGTTATGTATCTATACTATAAAATTAATCATAATAAAATCAAGAAAAAATGGAAAGGCAGGAGTATAAATGAATTAAGTGCATCATCTCTCACAGGAGGGAGTTAAAAGCCTCTGATTAAAGTGCATAAATCAAGAAATAGGAAAAAATGTATTCTAGTATTGTACACAAACACACACACACACACAGTGGAATGCTACTCAGCCATTACAGTAAGTGAAATCTCACCATTTGGGACCACATGGATTGACCTTGAAGCTGTTGTGCTAAGTGAAGTAAATCAGACAAAGACAAACGCTACATGATTTCACTTACACGTGGAGCCTAAAAACCAAGCCAAAAACCAGAATAAAACCCAGATTCATAGATACAGAGGACGGATTGGTGGTTGCCCGTGGGGAAGGAGGTTGGGGGAGTGAAATGGGCACAGGGGATAAAGAAGTAAAAACTTCTGGTTAGGAGTAAATCTCAGGGATGGAATGTACAGCTTGGGGAATGTAGCCAATAATATTGTATTAATTTTGTATCGTGACCAATGGTAACTACGCTTAATGAGGCGATCGTTTTCCAATCAATAGAAAGGCCAAATCGCTGTGTTGTACTCATTAAAATATTAACATATGTCCATTATACCTCAGTTTAGAAAAGAAGTTCTCCTGTAAAGTTGTAATGATAATCACCAGAGCATGGGATAGAGACTTGCTATTTCATTTTTGCCGTTCCACCAATTTGGATAGTTAGAAATCTTTTTGTAGGGGCGCCTGGGTGGCTTAGTCGTTTAAGTGTCCGACTTTCACTTAGGTCATGATCTCGCGGTTCGTGGGTTCGAGCCCCGCGTCGGGCTCTGTGCTGACTGCCAGCTCAGAGCCTGGAGCCTGTTTCAGAGTCTGTGAGTCCTTCTCTCTCTGACCCTCCCCTGCTCATGCTGTCTCTCTCTCTCTCTCTCTCCTATAAATAAAAAAAAATTAAAAAAAAAAGAAAGAAATCTTTTTGTAAATATTTTTTTTTTAAAGTTTATTTTGAGAGAGAGAGAGCGGGGGTGGGGGCAGAGAGAGAGGAGTGAGAATCCCGAGCAGGCTCCTCACTATCAGCGCAGAGCCCGACACGGGGCTTGAACTCACAAACTGCGAGACCATGACCTGAGCCAAAGTCGAACGCTTAACTGACTGAGCCGCCCGGGCGCCCCTCCTCTTGGGGATTTCTAAACACGTTTTGTTGGGGGGTATTCTCTTTGCAGACGTTTTCCTTAATCCTCTTTTCAAAGTTACTTGAAGCCCATCCTCACGCACACTGGCCCCCCGTTAACCACCACACTCCCCGCCTGGTGTGGCCTACTCGCCCAGTGTCTGACGAGTCCCCAGGTGTACGACGTAAGTACAGCGTGTCAGGGTTTCGCTCCTGCTCACGGAGCCAGGGTAGTATCCTCCCCAGGAAGGGGAAACCTGTGGCAGCCAAGCCTCCAAACCCACACGTTTTGCTTCTCTAAATAAGATGATCAGCAATGGCCAACAGCTACATTCAGTTCCAAGCCCCGAGGCCGTTGCAGTGTTCTGTGCCTCAGTTTTCTTGTCTATAAAGTGGGCCTGGTCGTACAGGCTGGCTGTGAGATTAAAGGCTAAGGCATGGAAAAATACCATGAGCCACAAAGTGTTTAGCGAACGTGGAGACCCTTTTTGCAGATGGTTTCTTTACGTTGATGTGGTTAGGTCCTTTCCGTTTTCAGATTCAGCTCAGCACAGTGTGAAAAGAATACCCACGTTGGTGGACATCTGAGCTTTGGGGCTGACTCGTGAGCCCTTCATGGGGGTGGCGGGGCAGAGAGGAGGAGAAAGTAAGCACCTACCTCCGTAGAAGGACTGGCGGAGAGGGGAAAGGCCCGTCTTCCTCTCTTTCCTCCACCGTCCTACATAACCACGATACCCTGGGAGAAAAGAACGCCTTACATTTATGTAGAGATTTCCAGCTCACAAAGGCCAAGTTTATTCTCTCGGCCGTACTGCAAATAAGCGGGCACAGCCATCTTACGGAGGAAGAAACTGCCAAGGGTCGCAGGATTAGTAACGGACAGAGCTGGGGCCCTAATGGCGGGTTTCAGAGTATTAGTAAACAACCTGCAATTTACTCGGTTCGTGTTGAGAAAGCAGAATATGCAAAGCCCGGGTCTGAGAGAGTAGGGTCTAGATCAGGTGAGTTCTAACGGGGCAGGGCGGCGGGCTTGGGAACCATTGCATTCAGGCGGTACAGAAGGGAAAGTAGACACAGTCGCTGGGCAGGGGATGCTGGGGCGGGGGGAAGCGGTGGTCCGGCGTGCCAAAGGGCATCCTCATCAGAGCTGAATCCCTCCATACGGCCACTGCTGCTTTAGGCTGGGGTCCTGACCAGGGTCTCAGTCCAATCTAGACACGGTGAGGCTTGCTGCTGCTGAGAGAGGAGGAGGAAAGGGTCTTCGAAAAATGAATTGAGGCAGCCAAGGGTGAGAGAGCAGAGGGGCTCCCTCGGGGTTTTGATCCTGGTGAGGGTCTTGGGCTGGGCGGCCCTTGTGGCTGTTTGACGCCCCGTCGACCTCATCCATCACCGAGAAGGCGTTTGGACTTCCGGTTTATTTGGGAGCTCTTGAAGATGGGCATTAGTCAAACTGTTTGCATCCACCTAGGAAACGGTGTTCTTCCATTCGGGAAACTGTGACTTCTGGCTGTTTCAAATGCCCACGTTCCACAGCATTTTCATAGCAGCCTCCAGCGGACAGCCCGTTACATAAGTGTTACAAACCTCCGGCTTAACAAAACTTTTGTTGATCCTGCCATCTGGAATTTGAGCAAGTGGGTTGGTTTCATCATCATCTGCAGATCGTGTTCATTAAGCTCTGATTTGGAAATCCCCTCTCCACAGGGTTTTACTAGGTCCTTGTTTCGGAATGACCTTTCCTGGGGTACGATCTGTCCAGGCTTGTGAGTTTCATAATGGAATGGGTCAACATCCAGTCTTGTTTCCTCTTGCCGGAATTTCAGCCCTGCTTCCCTCTGCCAGGGGTCAGCGAGGGTCACCCAGGGGCTGGCATCTGGGGGCCTCCCCTGTGCTGCCGTAGAGGGCGTGGCTCCATTCGCAGACACCGCCTGCGAACGGGAGAAATGGACGGCGCTGAAACAGGGAACGTGATCTCGTTTCCTGTTCGGAAAACTATCACAGGACAGATTGAATTTCAGGACTTTCTATAAACACTGGTGGAGAGCAGGAATCTGGGGAGTGTGGAGGGAGTTTTAGAAGGACGCCCGGCCTGAGTAGAGGGTTCTTACTTAGTTGCACACGTGCACCCTGCCTCGTTCCAGGGAGGGCTTGAGGCAGCAAGCCAGAGGAGGTGCATGCTTGCCTATCCCGAAAAAGCCGGAGCATTGGTTAAGTGGAGTCAGGTTGTGGAGTGTGGAGCAGTCGTCATCACTGAGAAGCAATGCAGAAAACAGGCTCAAGCTTGTCACCAGCGAGGGTGTCACCCAGACAGGCTGGGGCAGGAGAAGGAGATAGGCAGACCCACGAGCCCTTCCTGGGTCAGGGCATTGACCAGGTTCTCCTCCTGTACCTGCTGTGACTTAAGCTCCTCAAGGAAGGGCGCCAGGAGGAGGTGCGCACGCGCTCTGCTGGTTTCTCACCCAGATGGGAATTCAGGCATGTTGGGGAGAATCTGCCCGTGGCCTTGGGCAGCGTGACTCACGCGGGGGGCGGGGGGGAGGGGGCAGGGAGCAGGAAGCTGTCAGGGGGGCAGGTCCCACGTCCTGCACCGAGGACACCCTGCCGCGTAGAGGACGCAGGACCGCAAGTGCACTTTGAAGAGCAGATGGCAAATAGCAGAGTGAGAGAGCGGGTGTTCCGGCGCGTTTGGAAGCCGTGTTTGCCATTCAAGAGAGGAGCTCACAGCGTTTGACCCGATGTGCAGTTGGGGACAGCAGGGGAGCGAACCGCCCCTTGTGTGGCTGGTTAAACCCATTAGAGGGTGAAAGGCTTGTGCTTGACCTCATGCTGCTTCTTGTGCCCTCCCCCACCGTCTGGTGATTTCCAGAGGCTGCCACTCTGGCTAACACCTGCCTTGCTCAGCCTTGCCTGTTTTACTCTAACTGCAGCTTTTTTTTCTTCCACATCCTTTACGTGGGTCTGGCCGGCATAAATCCTAACTCTGCTCCCCAGCAGCTGGACAAACCTCAGGCACATTTCTGAGGTTCTCTTAGCTCGGGCTTTCTTCTCTGGGATAGGGGTGTGCCCGCCCTTCGCAGGCGGGGAGGGGTCAGGATCAAGTGAGCGCTTCCTGGCAGGCACGGAACAGATGTGCAAGAACACCCTCCCTCTGGATGCCCCGCCGCATCCACCGGCGAGCTTCCCATCCGGGGTTTTTCTGTGGGGACAGGAAGGACATCCTACTTATGCGTTGAGCCCTTCCCTCAATCACTGACTAGGGCAGAGAGCAGCTCAGAGGTACACCAAGTGGGTTCAGAGTGGTTTGCGGGGCGTCCTGCCCACTCAGGAGACCTGCCCAGGGAAGAGAGGCCCCAAAACCTATTTGCAGGTTCGCCCAGTGACCTTACCCTGCCTTTCCCTGTGGGCTGGGAAGCTCAGAACCCACGCTGGTCTCCCTCTCTCGCCTTTTGTCACTAACCCCGAGCCGTCAGGCACTGGCAATCAGAACTGCCTCCCGGCGTTCACAGCCCTGGTTTCGGGCAGCAGCACCTGGCCCTGAATAGCACTCCACAGCCTGCATCCTCTGCTCACACCAGAGGCTCAAGGCAGGCAGTTTTCACGATCCCCGTTTTCAGCCCGCGGAGCTGAGGTTGGGGTCGGCCCCAGCCCCCGGAAGATGCCGGTCTCCCATTTGTCGTTGTCGTTCGTTGCACTTTTCAGAACCAAGAGCCGCTGAGAGAGGAAGACTCCGACTTCATCCTGACCGAGGGCGACCTCACCTTGACGTACGGGGACAGCACAGTGACTGCAAACGGCTCCTCAGGCTCCCACACGGCCTCCACGAGCCTCGAGGGCAGCCGGCGAACCAAGAGCAGCTCGGAGGAGGTGCTGGACCGAGCCCTGGGGATAGGGGACCAGCCGGTTTCGAGCCGGGGCACGCGCCTAGTGTTCCCCCTGGACAATGCGTGACTCCCCCCTTCCCCGCCCCAGAGCCCGCGGCGATGATGGGGATGATGGGGACGGCCCACCAGCAGGTGACGGCTGCAAGCCCCGGGGTTGTCCGAGGAGGGGCACTGACTGAGCGGAACTAACGCTTCTGTTTTCTTGAGGTCTGAAGCTATCTTAACCTTTACAATTTAACCCAAGATGGTGGGGCTGAAGTGTCTCTAAATCAAGACAGACGCAGACCCATTCCCACTTTTTCACGTAGTAGTGTGCTGTTCAGAGTTAACCAAACAAACAAAATAGCATGCTTTAATGGTCTAACTCATTCACCTGCAGTATCTGAACAAGGTGTGTGGCGGGTGGGGGGGTGGTTGGATCCCTCCCCGCCCCCTGCCCAGGAGAGGCTTCAGATCCGTTCACAGCAGCCCAGGCCTGGCTGGCTGCAGGAATCGCACGGTGGAGGAGAGCAGGCTAGAAGAAAGATCGAGAAGGAAGGCGGCTGAGACTGGACCTGCAAGGATGACAGGAAGCCGGCGGTAAATGGGCCAGAACTCAGGAAGAAGCAATTGGAGCGGCCGCTCCCGGCACCACAGGGCTACGAGACCGTGATCTCACGTCAGGCTTCTGGGCTCTTTGCGGCCTGGCTTTCCTCTAGACTGAAGAGTGGAAATCTCTCCATGAACATTTGCACCTGGGGAAAGAATTAGAATGCCTTCTCTGGAAGCCTCCATCCAGAAGAAGCTACCAAAAGCAAAACCAAAGGCAAAATCGCGTTACGCTGTTGGGTTTTTCACATCCATCTGAGGACAGGAGAAACTGGTTAGAAACTGATGATGAAAAATCAGTCAATTCTTTGGGGCCGCCGTATAAGCCGACTGCCTGGCAAATGATTCAGAGGGCCGAGACACCTACTGTGGCTTTCGGAACAGCATTGAAATTTGTGGGGCGCTTTTATCTGGGGACGAGAAAGCAAAAAGAAGCCTAAGGAGGCAGTAGGCTAGTATTCGGGGTGGGGGGGGAATCACGCCGCGAACACAATCAACTGCAACAACAAAATACAAGATACTGTTGTAAAGACCGAGTAGATTTCAGTGACCATGTGAGAAATTAGAGGCAAGTCCATGGAAGATTAAGCAGTATTCAGTCCAGTGGAAGGTTCTGTCTACTGTAAGATTAAGTCTCCAGATGTCTTGAGGTCGAGTGCCATGTAGAGAAGGGTCATCCTCTCGGCATCCGGGGAGGCTCGCACCAGCTGAAGGCGTGAGCACGGTGTGAAATTTAGGTTCTTGAAAGCCCGATTCCTTTTAAAAAAAAAAAAAAAAAAAAAAAAAAACACAATGCTTTCATAAAAAGTGGGCTTCTGTCTTATTGTGGCTGACAACATAGTGGCCCAGTCTAGCGTACCCATAATCAGACCAGCCATTTAATCTTCTTCCTAACTCACGTTTTGAATGGTTAATACTTAGATAAGATGTTACGCTTTGCTTTTTGAATTGATCGTCTGTGCAAACCAGGCAAAACTTACTACCAGGTTGAGCCATACGAAATTGCTAATGTTGAACCATTTAAAAAAAAAAAAAAGAAACGACAGTTTCATATGTTTCGATATAATGTAATTAGATGCTTCTTATTCCCCCTTTCCTTTCTGTCTACCCTAAAGTCCATTTTGATTTTTATCATGGGCACCCATGGGCTTTGTAAGCTTGAAAAACAAGCTAAGCCACGTACCTGACCCCACGAGGCTCAGAATTACCTAGGCTAGGGAGGGACTTCGGAAAACCTACAAGCCACAGTCAGAGAAACCGCTTTTTTAGAGCACCCCTGGATGGGAGGTCATCTTGTTGTGGGGTCAGAGTGCAGAGAGCAGCTTGCCAGGCCGGAGATGTGCATATGTGCCCACGCCCAGAACCAGCACGGGTTTTATTTACCGTAGAGCTCTCTCAGTAATGACCAGTCAAGCCTGTACACTTGAAAGGTGAGGCTTCTGTGTATGTGTGTTACTTGCGGAGATGGAGGGATAGGCTGGCCGGCTCTTTGGTTGGATCTTTATAAAGCCTTGTCTGTCTCTTACATCACTTACTTATTTAATTTTGGTGGGAGGAAGCTACCAGGAAAACCCTGATACAGTTCTTGAAAATAGCCACCCTGGCTATTTAGGGACCCACCTTGTCTTAATAACTTCAGGGCTTCGTTGTCATGAATGGTTTTCCAGGAAGCTTTCAGCAAATTAATAAGACATTAAGGAGGAAAAATAACCAGAGTTCTCCATCCGAGGCCCCCGTCAATCCACACATCGTTGGGTTTTCCCCAAAAGGGTCTTGTCATCTTGACTGCAAACCTTTTATTTGGACCTACTTCAATATAAATAAGTGGAGATTTGTCAAGACCAAAGTTTTGCTAGTCATTGGGTTGGATTTTGTACTCAGTGGACAGGAGTAAGTCATTGACCTATGGTTCTAATTCTGGTTTGTAAGATGTAGAGAATAATCGTGACCTTACTAGAGGTCCTGGGAAATGAGTGCATTCAACGAAACACTTCTGCCTTCTAGAAGCATTACGCCTGTGCTGAGTGGGGAAAAGAGGGCGCCCCGAAGCCCAGAAACCATTTAACGTAAGGCCAGCTATCTGCTGCCAATCTGGCATAAATCAGGCTGACACTGCTGAGTGCATCCAATTTCCCATCTTTTTAACACATTCAACATCTTATAACCATATTTGTTCTGGATTGGGGGAGGGGAAGACAGTTCAGCAGAGCTGGATGATTCTAGAGCACAAGTTCTCAAGCCTGGCTGCCCAGGAGGTTTGGAGTGGGGCCTGCCTTCCATGCTTTGGTTAGGGTTGCCAGCCTTTTAGCCTAGACCTTGCAGCAGACCCTATTTGGAGCCTTAAAGAATGGCCTAGCAAATGAAGTTTCCTTTAATTGCCAGTCACGTGGACCATCCTGAGCATTGACCAGTAACCCCGCCTGGAAACCCATCAAAGAATTCCTTGCAGACAATCTTGGCAGAACTCCAGAACTTACTCCCTAAAGTGCAACTGACAACATCACATTTGAAAACCTTAGTGCGTGAGAGGGAGAGAAGGGTGGCGTGAGGGGATGTATTGGGTGGCAGGGAGGGGGCAGGGATGAAAAACCTGCCTTCTTGGCCCCCATCTGTGGAAGGAAAAGGGGTTCGGTCTTAGCCGTGCAGCCAAATGTCAAGTGGAAGGTGTTGGAGAAGCTGGCTTTTCAACTCAGCGTGCGATTAAACAAGGTCCCCTTTGCGATCGGGTCACCTTTCTTTCTCGCCACGCTTACCTTGCCCCCGTGCCTGCGTCCATGCTGGAGACCTCAGGGTAGAGTTTGGGCCCTCTGGAAGTGGAAGCTTGTGACCCCTTCTCGGTCACGAGGAAGTGGCGTTGGCAGAGGGGAGGCACGAAGTCCGGCTCTTTGTTCCTTTTAATACTTTTTTGGGGCACCACAAGGAGACCTGAACTTCGTCTCCTCCAGAGGGCAGTTGGGACTTGAAACGAGGCTGCGTTTCCCCCTAGGAAGCGAATCTAGGTAGAGCGCATAGGTGATTACACGTATTCTGCCCCCAGGGGACTCCCTGGGCCGCCCAAACAGGACCGATGTCTTACAGCCGAAAATCACACTGCGACATCAAATGTCTCATCAAGCAGACAGCAAGGGGCTTTTGGGCTGCATTCTCTGGACCCGAAAACGTCGTCTGTGGTTCGGTTGACGAAGCCTCTCTGGAGAACGTGACGGGTATTAGCTCAGCTGTCCATGTACATTTCAGCGTAGGGCCATCTTCCAAAATAGAGGGCTGTATCGTGACATCCCCCCACCCCCAGTCAACTCTCCCGACCCCTTTCTTTGTCCGCAGAGGCAGTTAATGTCACCATGTCAGATATTTAGTATGAACAAGATGATTTCTAAATGTAGAAACACCACCGATGCCCTTGGGGGAGACTGGTGGTGGTGGGGCAACAGGGAGAAACCCTCCTCTCGGACACCTAGCTCGGTCCCCACTGTGAGTCCTAAGAGGCGCATCACAAACCCGACTGTGCCGTCTGTTGTAAGATGGGATGTGGAACGAGGGCTTCTGGAAGGTCAGCTTGCTGATTCAACAAGCATGTGACTTCCTAGCCCACGTTGGAAAAACGGGGAACTTGACACGTTTCACGCCTGCCTCTGGATGTTGATTCTGCAGATAAGTTCGTGTAGGACTGAGTTTGTCACATGCCATGAAAGTGGGACCGCTGACCACCTATCTCTTATGTTGGTTTTTAAGTGAAACTCTGGCCCCGCCAGTGTCCGGTGCTGCGCCCCGACACAGTCAAAGGAACCTAGTGGCCAAGGGTTACAAACAAGCCCTCTGAATGTGTTTTCACTTGGGCACCTGAAGAGACCTTCCCCTTTCTAAAACCTAATAAGGACAATATACAGAGACATGCTCTAGAAAGCTCTGCCAGTCTCTCACTAGGAAAAGCAAGTAGGCTTTTCTCTTTGACAATCCTTTCAAAACCAGAACCTAGAAATCAACCCCTTTGCCCTGTTTCGATTTTCATCAGTGGAGCTTTTTTTTTTTTCTTTCTTTGAACTGACGACCATGTCGTGACACCCAGTGCTGGCAGCAATCGTGAAAAGCAAAACCAAAGCTTTTGATGTTCGTTTTATTTCTGTAAGCAGTTTTCTGCCACATGAGCCTGGGAGAAGATGAGAAGGAGGGTCTGCCCGTCCTGTTGCATTTTGAAAAGCCCCGAAATGCACGTGAGAGCACCCGGGAGGGCGGCCCCTCTTTTGGACGGCCGCCTTCGAACACGGGGTACACGGAATTGGCGAATGCCAGGGTCAGTGGAAAAGGGCCGGGCATGTATATGTTGGGGGAACTCCGATAGAAAGGGGCTCCTAACCAGCACGAGGAACTCCACATCTGCTGTCTAAAGCACGGAAAAGTTGAGACCCCAGTGCTCTCGGTGACTGACGGCTTGGACTCTTGGGGGTGGACTTTGGTTGGGATGATTCCAGTGGTGGGCTTCGGGGAAGCAGAGGAATGACTTCCGGTGGTATGGGCGTGAAGTCTGTGGATTCGGAATTCACTGAAATCGCTCCTTCAACGTGTATGACTTCAGGATCACCTCCCTTCTAGGTTGTCTTTTTATTTTTTACAGAAAAATACGTCTGGGTCTTCGTACTTAGGAAGTTTCACCATGTCCAATAAAATGATCAAATGGGAAGGCCACCAAGATTCGTTTAATAGCTGCAAAGCAATTTTTAAAAACAGAATAGGATGGATTTACCACGGGACACTAGGACTGTGCGGGGGTGGGGGGGGAGGGGAACTTTTTATAAAGCGCTTACATAACGTAATTGGGGAGAATTTTATCTTCTGTTTCCATTCATCAGTAGCAAACCGGTGGTTTTATAAAATTAACCTTATAGTATGTTATATAAATAAACACGTTCTATGAAATAAATGTCTAACTGTGAAAAAGGGAAGTCTTGGAGTTATCAGCAACCTTTATGTGCAATAAGGAAAACTGAGGTTAGGCCCCCAACAGTGCTAACTTTCCCTAGCATTTTACTTCATGTTTGCCTTCGTGTATATGTTTAGATCGATATTGTAAAGCTCGCCACGTGTCTTCTTGCCTTTGACTGATATTTAACACGTTTTTCTCAAAGCTTTTTTTTTTTTTTTTTTTTTTTACAAAACTCAAAATAAAAAGAATAACTGGCCGAGCTCATCTTGTTTTTGCATTTTCTTTTTTTTTTTTTTAAATATTTTTATTATTTATTTCTAGGAGAGAGAGACAGCATGAACAGGGGAGGGTCAGAGAGAGAGGGAGTCACAGACTGAAACAGGCTCCAGGCTCTGAGCTGGCTGTCAGCACAGAGCCCAATATGGGGCTCGAACCCACGAACCGCGAGATCATGACCCAAGTGAAAGTCGGACGCTTAACCGACTAAGCCACCCAGGCGCCCCATTGTTATTGCATTTTCGAAGTATTGTCAGTTACTAGAAGAATGCGGTGTGATCCTTTTCTCAGGGTGTTTCTAAGACAAATTAAGGGTAGCCAGCCCCTCTGGACCAAATCCGGCCCGCCACCTAGTTTTGTAAATAAAGTTTTATTTTTATTTATTTTAAAAAAATTTTTAATATTTTATTTATTATTGAGACAGAGAGAGACAGAGCCTGAGCGGGGGAGGGTCAGAGAGAGAGAGGGAGACACAGAATCGGAAGCAGGCTCCAGGCTCTGAGCTGCTAGCACAGAGCCAGACCCCGGGCTCCAACTCACGAACCGTGAGATTGTGACCTGAGCCGAGGTTGGCCGCTTAACTGACTGA